TGACCCTACCAAAGGAATCTTAAGATAATTGTACATTATATTGATAATTATTAATACATGTATACTCCCTCTATGAAAAAACCTAATACGGAATGTTTCATATCCTAGTATTAAACCTGTTCGGATCTATATACTATAGTATTAAAATATAGCACATCCAATATTATGTTTATTTTTTATGGGACAGAAGAAGCCTAGCATTTGGGACCCACATTGATATCACACATGTATGCATTACAGTCGTTATCATTCTTTCATATCACTAGATTAAATATTATATTAAGACTATTTAGGCAGGGGTAGAGCTACATTAATTAATTTGCCCAGGAACCTAGTAAAAAAACATTTTAGTTGGTTTAAATTAAATTTAAGCAACCGCATCAATCTAAATTTAGATCAAAGTAGAGTAATGCAAACTCTCGCCATTTCGTTATAGCTCTAGATCTAGCCCTATATTTAGGCACGTAGCTATCTAGTCTTAATCTACTATACTCTCTCTTTAATGGACGCATGCTTATCCGGAATGTAATATCTGTTGATCAGCTCGTACACCAGATATATATGGTCCAAATTTTTATGACCTTTTTGAGTCATACTGCACTGAAAATTAAAAAAGAGTAAAAGAAAAGTTGTACGAATGCTGAAGCTAGTCTCTGCATGCATATGGCAGCGTCGGTACGTGCAAGGTCGATCGGTAGGTACAAGAAGAAGAAGCTGAAAAAAGCTATGGCCGTCGTTGAGCCATGCATCAAATGTAATGTATGCCTTTTGTTTGTGTTAATTCCACTATATATACTTGCTACCTAATTATATATGTTGCTAAACAAGCTAGCACCTGCTGGCTGTGACATAGCAACCTTATCCATCTGGAGTATAATTATGCATCAAAATCGATCGAGATCGTTTTTTTTTTCTTTTTGAAACAATGGCAGTTCGTACTGTACTACGGAATGAAACTTTCCATGCATACACTCGTATTAATTGAATTTCAGTTACCTGAGACTTAATTACAGCTATATATATATTGCTATTAGATAAAATTGACCATGGTGTTCTAAGAAATTGACCGTGCATGCAGATCAGTAAACTAGCTAGCTGAAAAAAAAGTTAGTGCCTTATACTGATGTGTATAGCCAATTAGCCATTGCGAAAGTTAATTACCTAAGAACTTTCTGAATACAGTAATTAGCTTCATCAGGATTGTGTGAAAGTTAATTACCTCAAAGCATTCTGAATACAATAATTAGCTCAATCCTGATGAAAGCTATAAGTAATGTATTAAGAAAGCTCGAAGGTAATTAACTTTTAGAATGGACACTTTGTGAGCTTATCTTATGAGACAACTTGAACATGTATAACATTGTTCTCATTGTTATTGATCGATGTATGATATAATATATGGCATCCTAGCTATAGAAATGACTTGCCGAGCTTGTTTGGTTTGATGCTAATTTTTACCCTATCAAAATTTTTATAACTTTAATAATGACACATGCATGTTTGGTTTGATACCAAAATTTATCTACAATAGTTCAAATTCAATGCTACAAAATTTAGTAGTAACCAAAACTTACCAATGTTCTGACACTACCAAAATTTTGGTATAGAAAAATTAGCTTCGATTGCCCGGATAGCAGCAATGGATTAATTAAGTTTCCTCTCTTTAGCTAATTTCTACCCGGCCTACTGGTTCGACGTACAATTCAAGCATGATTAAGTACTTACTATCGAACTATGCATGGATCGACGTACTGTCTTGCGTTACTTTACTAAGTTCATAGCTAGCTCAGCCACGCACGCATGCATATGCATCACATTGCACCCCTCTGGTTCAAAAGCAAATTCATAGTCAAATTAGCTTTATATCCGATCCGCGTTTCAATGGCATTAGAAACGTCATGAAACTTTAGTACTAGCTAGTAAATCATTAATAACTAGGAGTAGAACTAGAGGATATATATGCTTGTGAAAATATATAACTTGCCCTCTACTACTTTGGAAAATGATTTTTGGAGATGCTCTCGGATTGCAGACGGTCCATATATGGGGCCAACCGTCTATGCAATACATTAACGTATTCTAGCTATTTCTATAGTCGTGTGTCCACTACTGGAGAAACCATCTTTACTGGGTTGGGCAAAAATTATATTAGCCCTGGTTCGAATAGGAACCGGGACTAAAAATGATCTTTAGTCCTGGTAAAAAAGCTCAGGGGTACTTTTTGATCTTTATACATCATTTTTAGTCCCGGTTCAATTACTGTCAGGCTATGTTAGACGGCAAACAAACCGGGACTAAAAATCGTATCGTTAATCCCGGTTGGTATTTACCAACCGGGAGTAAATATCAATCTCCCAAGTCTTAGCATCTCTCACATTCACTCTCTACCTTTATCTTTATACATCACGTACTTAATTCCTCTTTATCCCCTCTCCTCCTCCTCCACTCCTCTCTCTCCTTCTCATCCTTCCCTTCCCCTCTCCCTCCTTATCCTCCTCCCCTTCTCCTCGCAGAGGGTGTCCCCTTCCCCTCTCCCTCCTTCTCCTCCTCCCCTTCTACTCGCAAAGGGTGGCGCCTGAGGGCCGCAGGAGGCGGCGGCAGGCGCAGCCGTCGCGCGCGGAGGGCGGGGCTTGGCTGCGGCGGCCAGCGCGGAGGGCGGGGCCTGGCTGCGGCGGCCAATGCAGAGGGCCGCAAGCAGCAGCGCAGGCGTGGCCATGCCGCACGGAGAGCTGTAGGCCGCGGCGGATTATGTTGTTGTTTTGTGATGATTTGAGGATGATTTTGTTGTTGTAAATGATTTGGGATTATGTTGTTATGGATGATTTGTGATGTCAGGAGATGATATTGTTGTTGTGAATGATTTGGGATTATGTTTTTTAGATGATTTTGGATGTCGGGAGATAATATTTTGATATTGGAATGATTTGGGGATGGCGTAAGATATGCAAGATAGCAAAAAAAAAAAGAAAAAAAGAAAAAAGCTTTAGTCCCATAACAACAACCGCGACTAAAGATGGAAACACCAGCCACATGGCGTTACCATCTATGGTCCTAGTTGATAACACCAACCGAGACTAAAGATTCATCTTTAGTCCTAGTTATTTCAACCGGGACTAAACATGGACATCTTTAGTCCCAGAATCATAGTTCCGGTTGTATAACCGGGACTAAGGGGTTACGAACTGGCATTAAAAACCCTTTCTCCCGCAGTGGTCTAAAATCAAGGAAAATATATTGTTTCACTAAATGAATGGAAATGAAAACATCGAATGACATATATTAATTAATTGACATAAATATATGACGCAAGACCAATTCTATGTCAATTAATAGACGTCGTTCGATGCTTCCATCACCATTCATTCAGTCAAACAACATATTTCTCCTGATTTTAGACGCATGTATAGGACGCAAAAAAAAAATCTAGAAACATATTTCCTCAAGTTTTGAATACGGCGGCAGCGTCAGGGCCCGACGTGATCGAATGCGGCAGTGACACCAGTCGCAAAGTGCAAATTAAGGGTTGGACACTTATATATTGATGACTTATAATTACCCTCAGTAGTAAGGTAGGTAATTTTCACATTTAATATGTATATCATTTCCGAAAATACCCTTACAAATAAATTGTTAGATTTCATTTATACTAATTTGTGTGGTTATATTATACCCTTATCACTAGTATGGTGGGAGTGGATTTTGATCTCTCGAGGGGATGTCCTATCGTTGTTTACATATCACTTAAATGGTTATGATAACATGTATTATCATGTGATATATCACTCCATAAATATAGAGTAAAATACAGTAGCGGCCCTTAAACTTGCGGGCGGATGTCATCCAGGTCCACTAACTTGCAAATCGTGTAATTAGGCCACTAAACTTGCTAAATGTACCATCGCCGGTCCAAAATGCCGTTTGACCGCAGTCGCGCCGACGTGGCATGCCACGTGCATAGCTGAGCTGGCCCGCACCGTGCGTGACACACCGCCCACGCCTTGTCGTTTTTCATCCAGGTCCCTCTCTTTTTCTCATTTGGTTTCCACCACTACTTCTTCTTCCCCGGAGCGCCCAAAAATCTGAGCAGCAACTAGGGATGCGATTGAGGGCAAGGTTTGGCGGCGGAGCAGGTCGCGGCAGGTTCGGCGGCGGAGCAGGTCTCGGCAGGGTTCGGCGACGGAGTATGTCGTGGCAGGGTTCTTCGGTGGAGTAGGTCTCGGCGGGCTTCGGCGGCGAAGGCGATGGCAGGCTCGAGCTCCAGTAGGAGCACAACACGGTCGGCGACGAAAATATCCAGGCAAGGTAAAACCTTTCCATCTCCCATTCGGTACCTGGAGAGTAGTTTGTTGAAGTCAGTTGGTTTATTCATTTTGAATGTGCAGAATGGTGGATGCAAATTATGGCAGTGGTATGAACCAGGGACAACGCCATATTTGAAGCAGGTTTTGAATGATTTAGTCAGCACTGTTCGTGAAGTGAAGACAGAGAACTCTAAAATTAGAGCATCCCTTGCCAACTCAAGAGCTGTGATTGATGGACTTGTCACTGAATGCAATGTCTATGAAGCAAAGAGCATGGGACAAAAAGAGGAATGTGGCTCATTTGCTGAAATGGCATGTAGAATCAAGATGTTAGAAGAGAGTAGACGATTTATGTTGTCAGTAATTGTTGGTTTTGTAGTAGTCATATTTGCACTATTGCTTCTTAGGTAGATACCAAAGTTTGATGGATATGGATGTATTGGTGCTGGTGTGTTTTGTGTCAGCTAATAAGGCACTTGAGTGATCTTTTGTGTATGCTGAATCTGAACCATGTATGAAAAATGTATGCTAAATGCTATTATGTGAAGCTGAAATATGAGATTTTGTTCTGAAAATCGACATCTCTAATTTTTTTTCAGCAGACAACTGTTATTTTGTTCTAGCTTATGAAATGTCCTGTAAAATGTCATCTGGAAATAGCAAACATGCATCATGCATTACAGGCAGTAATTTCCCATATTCATCACAATACCAAATTTCTGGCATTTAGTAGTATTTCTAGTACTACATTCAGTGAACACATGTCTGGCATCACAAAATTCCCATGTTCTATCACAAAATAGCCACAAGTTTGGCAACACAAAATCAAGCAAGCATGCCCATGAAATCCATACAGGGTTCAAATTTTGGCATAACAAAGTACTACTAGCACTAAAGGACCATCAAACATATGGTCTAACACATATCACTTGTTTGTAGCAGTAGCTTTCTTCCTGGGAGCTCTGTTCTTTGAAGTAGTAGCAGCAACTCCTGATACTCCTTCAGTTGTACACTTCCTTTTGTTGGCCCTAGATTTTCCCTCTTTTGTTGCTGTGGTCATAGGGGTAGATACTACAGCTGGCTGGTTTGAAAGGATGTACTGGTTATCTGGGAGAGGACCATGTGTAGTTTCCATTTGACTAACTTGTGATGATTCCTCAAACATCTGTGTAACCACAGGATTAGGAACTTGTGATAGTAATTGGTCATATGCAGACTGAGATTGGGTCAGCACCTACAAGTTTACAAAGGTAATTAAGATAGAGTTATAATAGGGTAGTGATAATAGAGTGATAAGATAGAGTATTGTTTCATTACCTCTGCTGGTTCTTGCTTAGATTCATGCCACTCTTTTGTAGAACTTGCAGCTGGGATCCTACTTGTCTTCAGTTTGGGTCTGAGTCTAGCCTTTCTCAGTGGGCACCCTTTCTTGTTATGTCTAGGCTCTTTGCAGAAAGAGCAGTGCATCTCCACACCATGCTTGGACATTTTAGGCCCATTTTTTCCCTGTACCTCATGTGGTGCTTTCCTCCTAGACTTAGGTGGTCTGCCAACCTTTTTCTCATATATTGGAGGCTTCACTTCTGGCCCATTCACCTGAACCCACTTAGTCATATCATTGTAGGGCCAAATGTTAAATGCATATGCTCTGGAGAATGCTTCTAAACTATAGCAGGGTGGAAGAATTGACTCAGCACTAATTCTCTCACTCCTTAAGCATGAGATAGCATGGTTACAAGGGATGCCTGTCAGATCCCATCTCCTGCAGTCACAATGTTTAGCACTAAGGTCAACAATGTACTTGAAATTCCTATCTTCCACCTGAAAAATCCCTTTCCCGGCTGGCAAAACATAACATGTGTTTGCCATATCTGCATTTTTCAGTACTTTCTTCCTGATCTTGGGGCATATAGGCCCATGCCATTGCTCTGCCACTTCTTTCTGCTTACTATAATGCCTACTTATTAGTTGGCTTTTGATCTTTTCAAACATACTTAGGATTGGCAATTCCCTAGCTTCTAAGATGTACTTGTTGAATACTTCACAATTATTGTTCAATAAGATATCACACTTAGGGAATTCACTGAAATAAGCTTTGACCCAAGTTTTAGGAGGCATCTTTTGAAGCCACTCATATGCATCCTGATTAAGAGATTTCATTTCTTCCATGTTGGCATTCCACTCAACCTCTGAACTTGATCTAGCACATGCCCATAACTGGTTTTTCAGATTCTCACCTTTGAAATGTACCTGAAAATTGGAGTACAGATGTCTAACACAGAATCTGTGTTCTGAATCAGGGAAAATCTGTTGGACAGCTGGTATAAGACCCTGTGTTATGTAAAAACAAACATAAGAACAATTTGAAATATGTCAGATTATAAGAACAAAACTTGTTATGTAACCTATAAGAAAAATAAAGAACAGGTATACCTTTTGCTTATCAGTCATTATTGTCCATGGGTAGGTATTGTCAATGCCCAGGTCTTCCTTTAGGGTCTGTAGAAACCATCTCCAAGACCTCAATGACTCTGTCTCAACCACAACTATTGCAATTGGATATATGCAATCATTAGGGTCAATACCTACTGCTGTTAGGATCTGTCCACCAAATTTAGTCTTGATGTGGCAACCATCCAAACATATCAAAGGCCTACATCCACTCAAAGACCCTCTCTTACATGCATCAAAGGACATGTAACATGTGCTGAAACAACTGTCTACCAAGTTCAAAAAGAAGCAACTGCCTGGATTAGACCTTCTTAGCTCAGCCCCATAGTTCCACAACTGATTATATTGCTGAATCTCATCACCATATATGTCCTTGAAGGCCAATCTCCTTGCCCTGGCTAGCTTGCTTCTAGATGGAGTCAGATTCTATTCTAATTGGACTAACTTTGCAAACCCTCCAAGTGTCATCTTATCATTTGCTCTAAAAGTTTCAATGTACTTCTCAGATAGCCATTTAGCAGTACACCTTTTCAGCACCCATTCCTTCTGACATTTATGCTCCCCAAGATATGTCTTCACCATCATTGACTTGGACCTGCTATCAAATGATGCATATAAGTTCCATGGGCAACCCTCAACACAGTGGGCCCTAAGTCTTTTTTGCTCATTCCTAGGCATCTTGATGTCCACTCTAGCCTTCAAACTGTACTCTGTTATGGCCTTTCTAAGTACTTCTACTGAAGGAAACACCATGCCAACCTTAAAAACTAGGTTCTTAACATCCTCTGCCATGAAAGCCTTAAACTTTAATCTCACTTCACCATCATCATCTGAATCTGGGAGCTGCAAATCTTCATCATCAGTGGAAACTTCCTCCACATCAGAATTTCTAACTACTATTTCTTTTCCCTTCAACTAACTGCCCTTAGCTTTCTTCCAAAACTTTGCCTTGCAGTCAGATAAGTCTTCAACACCCACATCAACATTGTCAACATACAAGTCATCATCTGCATCTGATATATCAGTCACTATCCATAAAATATGGGTCATCTTCTAAGCTACCATCACTGTCACTGTCATCTTGTTTGTTTGGCACCTTCCTATCAGCAGTTGACATCTTCCTAGGACTAAGCACCTTAGGCAATTCACTAATAGGATTAGCTACTACATCATCCCAATCTACACCTGCAATTGTGTCACCCTGATCAAAATAGATAATAAAATTCTTAACCTTGTGCACAACTGATTTCATCACTTCAAAGTCAGCCCTAGTAGATATAACCCTAAGGCCATCTTCAAGAGTTTTTCCAGGGAGCAACCAATAAGCCTTAAAATCTGGATTCATATCATACCCAAGCATAGCTAAAAATTCATCAAAACAAACAATATCCCATGTTCTTGCTTCACAGTGGTCAATCCAATTTATCGTTTGATCTACATATGCCCTGTTGCTACCCTGACCAACAAAAAAACCACCATGGTGTACCTCAGCGGTGAATTTACCATCATCAGGACCTGCATTGCAATCCTAATTAGCGGTATTACTCTCATGTTCTAGCCTACTCGAGAACAATGTCAGGATAATCATCCTACAGGAAAAAATAACATCTTTTTGCATAATCAAACGCCATATTCCTTTGTATCTATCTACCAACATCAATCAGTGCATGCTAATCTTGCAGATTAATGGATGAAATTTTGAAGTTACACTCACTGTACAACGGAGGCCCTTCCCCTTCCAGGCGGAAAATCATGCCGCCTCCCCGCGATTATGGCCGGCGGGAGGCCGCAACAGCCAATCTCGCCTCTTTGCGCTTTCGCTGGAACCCTATTTCTCCGGCGATCACTCCCCTCACGATCTCCGCTGCACTCTGCGCTAGGGCACTCCGGGGAAGACGAAGCAGCAGTGGATGTCGAAAGAAAATGAGAAAAACAGAGGGGCCTCGATGAAAAAAAACAAGTGTGGCCGGTGTCACACACGGTGCGCGTGAGAAAAGGCATGGTGCGGGCCAGCTCAGCTGTGCACGTGGCATGCCACGTCGGCGCGACCGCGGTCAAACGGCATTTTGGACCGGCGATGGTACATTTAGCAAGTTTAGTGGCCTAATTACACGATTTGCAAGTTAATGGACCTGGATGACATCCACCCGCAAGTTTAAGGGCCGCTACTGTATTTTACTCATAAATATATATACAAGTTCAAATTCAACTTCCACATCTCGTAACGAAAAAAATAAATTAAACTACAACTAGTTAAACCTAAATTCGTACTCAAATTTGTTTTTTTTAAGACTGTAGAGGCTGTGTATATGGATTATCTTGTCTCCTTCTGTCCTTCCCGACATCTTGCTCTAACTACGGGGGTCATTGTCTCTCAATGACGAAACTGATGATTGTGATATGCACCAAACTATTATTATGTCTTAGTTTTCATGTTATAGATATTGTAAAATCTTTTATATAATAATTTAATACACGTAAGCGCCACGTGCACACACATGCATATAAAGTGGTGGTAGTCAAATATATCTACATCAATATCTAGAAGCTTTTACATGTCATGAACCGAGGGATCATTATTGTTTTTGAAGTTTCCCCAATTCTTCCTAAAACCGAACAGCTGATCCAACCACCAAATTTTTCATGTGTTCCGCACGTGCTTCTATCCACGTCATTACTTTGTATATTTATATATTTAATATTACTACTCCAGATCAGGTTTTAGAAATTTTGCGTTCAAATTAATGCCTTTTGCAATAAATTAATTAATGCGTATTCGAAGCTTCTTACCTGCTTGCTCTCCTCTCTAGTAATCAGCGACTATGACGGGAGATAAATTTTGCACATGGAGAATACTGTTTTGGATAAATTAAACAACATTTTGTAGAGTTAGTTGGGCAGGTCTGGTCAAGGGACTTGGTAGAAGCGTCAATGAGAAGGGAGTTAGCTGGGAATTGAACAATCTGATCACTTGGCTAGTCAAAACCACTGGCTTGGCTTTTTCCAAAAGAAAAAATAATAATAATTGGACTTTCAAGCCAGTTAGCTTTTTTTTTTTACGGAAAAAGTACGAATTACCCCCCCCCCAAACTATCGCGGTCGTCTGAATTACCCCACTGAACCACAAAAACGGACATTCTTCACCTCGAACTATACAAACCGGACGAATTACCCCCCTTATCCAATCCGCAGTGGTTTTGGTCTACGTGGCGTACGCGTGGCAGTCCAGTCAGCGTTCTATATAAAAAAAATGTGGGGCCTACATGTCATACACTCTTCTCTCTCTTCTCTCTCACTCTCCTCACTCTTCTCATTCTTCCCCTCTCTCTCTCACGGTCAGCGGCAGGCGGGGGCAGCGGCTGAGGGCGGCGGCCTCGGCGCGGAGGCGGAGGCGGCGAGCAGCGGCCGGCACGGCTGGAGGCGAGCGGCGGCGGGCGCGGCTGGCGGCGAGCGGCGGTGCGCGGGGGCGGAAGGGCGGCGCGGGTGCACGGGGGCGGACGCGGAGGCGGCGGCGACTAGCGGCGGTGCGCGGGGGCGGACTGGCGGCGGGGGTGCGCGGGGGCAGACGGTCGGTGGGCGGCGGTGGCGGAGGTGGGGATGATGGAGACGGCAGCGGCGGCAATACTGGAGGAGGAGGAGGGATCCGAGGCGAGCTTCTTCGGCGAGGAGGAGAAGGGGCGGCGACAATAGAGGTGGATTGGGAGGCGCCATCCGCCCGCCCCCGCGCGCCGTCCGGCCATCCGCCGTCGCCCTCCACCAGCCGCGCCCGCCGCTGCCGCTCGTGCCACTGCCCGTGAGAGAGATAGAGGGGAAGAGAGAAGCGGGGGCGCCGCCGTCTACATCATCCCCACCTCCGCCACCGCCGCCCACCGACCGTCCGCCCCCGCGCACCCGCGCCGCCCGTCCGCCCCCGCGCACCGCCGCTCGCCGCCAGCCGCGCGGGCCGCCGCTCGCCGCCGGCGCCTCCGCGTCCGCCCACGCGCACTCGTGCCGCCCGTCTGCCCTCGTGCACCGCCGCTTGCCGCCAGCTGCGCGGGCCGCCGCCGCCTCCGCGTCCGCCCCCGCGCACCGCCGCTCACCGCCAGCCGCGCCGGCCGCCGCTCGCCGTCGCCGCCGCCTCCGCTATGAGGCCGCCACCCTCAGCCGCTGCCCCTGCCTGCCGCTGACCGTGAGAGAGAGAGGAAGAGTGAGAAGAGTGAGGAGAGTGAGAGAGAGAGAGAAGAGCGTATGACATGTAGGCCCCATATTTTTTTTATATAGAATGCTGACTAGACTGCCACGCATATGCCACGTAGACCAAAACCACCGCGGATTGGGTCGAGGGGGGTAATTCGTCCGGTTTGTATAGTTCATGATGAAGAATGTCCGGTTTTGTGGTTCAGGGGGTAATTCAGACAACCGCGATAGTTCGGGGGAGGGTAATTCGTACTTTTTCCTTTTTTTTAATATAATGGAATAGAATAATAAAAAAAAGCTAACTGGCTTGAAAGTCCAGTTAGCTAGGATTAATATAGTTAATTACTAGCCTTTAATTG